TCGTTTCAATATTTTTTGGTTGTGGATAGTATGAAGATGTAAAATCATCCAACCAGACCTTGGACATTTTTAGTCTTAACAAAAAAAATCAATATTTTAGAGAACGGTCATTTATATAGGAAAATACAAGAAAATAGGGAGTATTTAGAGGTTTCTGCGGTCGAAAGTTGGTTTTTATGTAAAATGAATATGATATTCAGAATCAGCATGAAAAATTATACTCGACAGTCTATTTTTCATTGCAAAGTATTTTCCATGGAAATCTGATCCCTACTTCCCCTCAACCTTTTATCCATGAGATTTTTCCCTCTAGTCCTCTACGGGTCAAATTTTCATGGAAAATATTTTACAATGAAAAATAGACTGTCTAGTGTAATTTTTCATACTGATACTGAATATCATACTCATTTTACATAAAAATCAACTTTCGACCACAGAAATCTCTAAATACTCCCTATTTTCTAGTATTTTCCTATATAAATGACCGTTCTCTAAAATATTGATTTTTTTTGTTAAGACGAAATATCCAAGGTCTGGTTGGGTGATTTTACATCTTCATACTATCCACAACCAAAAAATATTGCAACGAAAAGAAATCTTGCGAAGAATAAGCGCCACCTTTATGGTTTATATTTTATCGCATATGAGTTCTTTTGAACAAATAATTAAATTTCATTTCAATAAACAAACTGTTAATTTTTGTTTTATGTTAGATTTATCCATATTGTGTTTTTTAGTCAAAACCGATTTTTGTAAAATAGAAGACAGAATGTATGTTCAAATATTTTCAAGATATATCTAATTGTCTGAGAACTGGACAAAAGACTAAACTTATTCTAATATAGCTTTTCTATAATAATTGTAAAAATCTTTACTCTTTTTAGTCATGATCATTCCCTAATAATAGTATATACTTGGTCTAAAATTTTTGAGTTTCTTCATCAGTATCAAATTATCTTTTATGCACTAAAAGTTTAGAAAACCAAATATACTTCAGTTTTCATTGCAGAAGAACATATAGATCATTGAGTTGAAGGAATATTTCTAATCGACTTAAATAGAAATGTATCTTTTCAAAGAATTGTTTAAATTTGTCTTGTTTGGTGATTGATAATAGTACATTTGAAAAATGTTGATTTATATTTTCTAGGATGATTTACCTAATTTGAATTGCTTCTCATTAACATGTTTTTGCTTAACTAATGAATATGATACTCTAATTTTACCTCTTTTACGTCGTATGTCAAATCTTGAAGAATTAACTTTGAATATTACGAACGAAGAACGAAATACATTTATGGATGGTACTCAATTAGATAATGAAATTATTGTTCATATGCCACGACTTTCTAAATTTACGTTTCATATTTGTACTAAAATTGAACTGCATCATTTAGTTAATTATTTATCGAGCGATGATATTCAACGAACTTTTACTAATACAAGATATCAACAAATGGGGTGTATATTATCTTACACGGCAGGTCGTGCTATATGTCATGTTTTTTCGTTACCGTACATGTTTGATCGTCTCAATTATATTGGCAACAATTTTTTACCTATTGTCTTTACTCATGTTAGACGATTGACGGTGCACGATAAAGTCCCATTCCAACATGAGTTTTTCGTTCGAATTGCTCGTTTTTTTCCTTTACTTAAAGTATTCCATGTTCTTAATTTTCAATCACAGAAAGTTGTATCAGACAAACGGAATTCTACTGATAATGAATTGTTTTCAATTGTTGAATATCCTCATCTTGTTACACTTTCCTTGTTTTTATCTCATATTGATTATGTCGAGCAATTTCTCAACGAAACAAAAACACATCTACCTTGTCTAACTACATTAGAGGTCAATTATGATCGATTAACAATTGTAACAGAAAACTTCACAAGAAATATAACACGGCTCAATTGTGCTAAAGTGGAACAATTATGTATTCGAACAATAATAGTACATTCCAAAGATGTTTATGAATATTTTCCTCTGTTGTAATTTTGTTTGTGTTCTCATTAGATTAATAAAATAGATAATACTTAGGGTTAACCAAAAGTTCTAGGCCCAATGTTATTTAGTCGTATAATAAGCTTTAAGAAACTGTCTTTCTATATACTGTGATAGAGAAAAGAATGCTCTATTTTTCTATGCTATTTGATCATATTTCAAGTAATATCATAATAATAAATCTTCCATATGACTTTTTTCGTTATCATTTGTGCACGTAGCACTAGATCACAATGGATGAGGCAGATTATTTTTCAATTCCTCAATGCATTTTATTAACAACCAAAATATACCATAGGATGCAGCGTGGAAAGCTCTACAATTTACATAAGATCACTTATTCTATAGTTGCACTCTGTTTTTAGACTGAACGAGCATTTGAGGGACCCAATTTGTGGCATTGCAAAAATTCGTCGCACAGAATTTTCCCTTTTTTGGATAGAATTACAATAAGCTTCACTGCGAAGGTTGTAGAGCTCTACGTAGGATATCTTGGTCCTGGATTCGAGTATTCCGTAACTGGATTCGCTCACAGTTGGGACCAAAGACCAAACTCTGCGGACCAAGATAGAGCTCAACGAGTTCTATCGAGTGCACTATGTATTTTTTCTGCAAAACCATTCCAACCGCGAGAAAAACTTAAAATGCTGTAAAAAAAATACGCAAAAAAAGCAGATTTTTTCCGTAAAGTGTACCGCGATTCGCTCCCAGCAGGGACCAAAAGCTAAAAATGACATAGATGGATAGAACTCGACAAGCTCTATCCACTGTATACCTTTTGAGTTATTTTATGTGTTTCCATCTCCCCTTAAAATCCCAATACTCCCAGAAAACCTGGGGTGTGACACCTACACCCTGAATGGTTTTTTACTCAATTTATAGAGCAACATCTTTTTTGTTTTCTATTTCTCTAACGAGGGAAAGTCTCCAAGAGATCCATCGCTTTTAAGCCAGAACTATCTGGATCCTAATGAGCTATGAATACTCTGAAAAGAGTTTGAGCCCATAAATTATTACTGTTGAGATAATGCATTTTTAGGATATCCTTTTTACTTCAATTCCGTGGTTATCCTCAAGGACAGCAGAAAAACTTAGTTTCGAATTTCGACTTAAAACTTTGAACACAGTTAGTTCTCAACGAGAATAGTGTAGTGTAAAAGTTTGAGCCTTTTCGATTGGTTTTTTTGGAAATAAGAACATCGAAATCTTCAGATGCATCAGCGATGTGAACAACATGCTGCTACCATGGCTATATCTTAGACTAGGAACAACGAAAAGATCTGAAACTTTTACAATACACTATTCTCGTGGAGATCTAAGTATAATCAAAGTTTCAAGTCGAAATTCGAAACTAAGTTTTTCTGATGTCTATGAGGGGGATCACGGGATTGAAGTAAAAAGGATATCTTAAAAATGCATTATCTCAGCAGTCATAAGCTATAGTCCGAACTCTTCAGAGTATTCATAGCTCATTAGAACCTAAATTATGCACATACTCTCAACTCGAAAGCGATTTGACAGTTGAAAAGGTTTCCTCGTTAGATCGATAGCAAAGTTTTTAAGAGTGTCAACAGATCCTATCAAATAAAACATTACGATTATCGGTTAGAGTACCGCCTTATCTATCTGTGAAATATATAGATTAACTTAGCAATAGAATATAAGTAAATACATTCCAACCCAGATCGAACAATCAGATGGCAAGGTCTTACAAGGATCGTACGCCTGATCATATCTGATCTGATAAGATCAGATGAAAAAGCGTACGCAAAATCGTCGTCTCTGATTTCTTACGCAAGATCATATTAGAAGATTCTTGAAAGATTCTGTTACGTATGAAATACCACTGTAATATTTCGATTAAACTAATATCTCCTTAAAATATCACTAGAAGTTATTCGTGAAAATAAAGTGCATGTAAGGTCTTTTAACGAAAATGTAGTATGATCTTATGCAAGATTCCTTAGACGACGATTTTTTGTCAGATTCTTGTAAGATTTCGTCCATATTGCAAGATCTTACGTGTAGGTCATAAGATCTTATGTCAGATTTTTCGACCTGGGAAGGTAAAATTTCAGAAGCTCAAAACTTTGCAGACAATATATGGGAAAATCTCTCGAACATTTAAGTCGAACCAAATCGTTTCCTTAATTCTTTTTTTAAACGTATTGCATAAGAAATAAGTGAAGAGGTATATTATTTCTTTCTTCTTAACGGAATTTAATTCGAATATCATCCGAACATTTTTGATTTTAATGAGAGATTTAATGTATAGATAGTTATTTTCGATTTGTTTATTAAAACAATATCAGAGTTTAAGATTAGGGAAAGAGACAAAGAAGAATTCTATTATACAAATGGACTTCTTTCCATAATTTTTCATAATAATTTCTGCAAAAAATTTGCCAGATATAACATTAACTTTTGGTCAAAAAAAGGATAGACTTTCTGTGAAAACTTTATTGCCTAACTCTCTCAAAAACAATTGAGAATCTTGAAGAACAATGTCAGATTACAGAGAGATGCACTTAAATATATTTTAGCACATAAACGAAGTCTCTATTCTATAAAATAATTAAGTATTCGAAATGCATTATATTATAGTTCATAAATGAATTAATCTGATAAAATTTTCAATGTTCTTTTATTTGTTTATTTCGTTGAATAAAAATATCAGATGAATATATTCTCAGATGACAAAGAAAAAAAAGTCTATTGTTTTTTTTGTTGAACGAAACTATATCAACTGATTGAACATAATCTTCAAATTGACATATTTTTTCTTCAAGAAAATCAGTTTCAATCTAAAATAAATTTATTAATTATAATAAAAAAATAAAAATAATTTACTTTATCATCTTCCACAACACAACCCATTTGTAATTGTTTAACACCAAAAGCAACTGGTACTAATTTAGCTAGAAATAATATAAAAAAAAATTTCAAAATAAAAATTTTAAAATAAAAATTAATTAATTTGCTAACATTATCCCCAGACGAGATCATCAGCTTCAATTGATCTTACAGATTGTTCCATAGCATTAAGATCAGTTTCATCATCCCGAAGTTTAACATCTAACATAATTATACTTTGAACAATAACCTGTTCTTCTACAAAAATATTTCATTTATAACATATAAAAATTCATTAAAAAAAGAATATTCTTATTTACTTTTAGCTTTTTTTGCTGCATAATCAGCTAAACGTTTTTTTTTTTGTTTCTTCACTTTGTTGTTTATCATCTGAACCAAATAATATCAATATCATCATCAGCTGTAGTGGCTGCTTTAAATTCAGCTGATTTCTTTAAAAAGAAAAAGAAATGTTAGATGAAATTATAAATACAAATTAAAAACAAAAAAAAACAATCTTATTCGAACAAAAAAAAATTCTCTGAGGAAGATTAAGAAAAAATTTTCTTTGTTTGTGTTTATTGATTTCTCTCTTTTTATATAAATCTTAACTGATCCCAATAATCGTTTGTTTGTTAAATTCAAGTTGTTCAATACGTCGTCTAAGACCTTCAATCATTTGTAAAATACTTTCAAATGTTGATTCAATTTTTGCTAATCGTTGTACATTTGTTATATTCATTCTAATAGATGATGATTTTATCATTGAATTATTATTATCTTCAATTTTTATAATATCATCAATTTGTTCGCTCGAACTTGTCTGCAATATTTATTAGAAATTTACAACATTTCGACAAATATAAATATACTCTAAGCAGACAAACAAGCAAGGTAATACTTCAATCAAACATCTACACATACAGATGTCAATGTGACAATAATGAACATGTGTATATATATGACTATAGGAGGATTAAGATTAAAAAGATAAACTATAGGCTACGTAGGGGTTTTCAAAGTGGCCCCGGTCCAGATCCCGCTGGGACTGAGACCGGGACTAAAACTTCTTCAGGCTGGTCCCGGTCAGCTTACTTTTATCAAATATCTCTCATATATATTTTCGCATTTTTTACTATATTCTGATTAAAAAAAAAATCTGTAAATCGACTATTTTTGTTTCCATATCCGATAAAAGCCTTTTAGAAATCACAGTTCTGCCATCAAGAATCGAATTTTTTGGGAATTTGAGTAGATTTCCGAGTATCAAAACATAATATATTTTGTTACTAATGCAACAGCAACATTACAACATGTATCCCAAATCATCGACATTAGATGTCAATTGAAACTACTATATTTTAATGATATAGAGTTTATCTATTTTTTTTGTTGATCTAATTGCTAAGAATAACTTCGAAAGAAATTCAAAAGTTTATAAACAAATAAAAAATCAAAATATAATATTTAAAATAAAGAAAGTGAAATATTCTGTCAAATCTGCTTATGATCTCTCTAATCAGTTGAAATTTTATCATCCTATTAATCCAAAGATTACATACATATAATAATAATATAAAATAAAACATGGATTTTTTAATTAAATCTAATATTTAATTTGCAGCAACATTGTGATAATGTATAGGGATCAACTATTGATCACCTACATGAAAAATTTATTTTTCTTTTATTCAAACTTTAGAAGTTTAAAGAAAGAAAAACAAATAATTTAATCAATACATCATGTTTTATCAGTACATGAAAAAAGAAAAACAAAATTTATTATTATTATTATTATTTTATATATTTTTTTCATGTACTGATAAAACATGATGTATTGATTAAATTATTTTTTTTCTTTCTTTAAACTTCTAAAGTTTGAATAAAAGAAAAATAAATTTTTTATGTAGGTGATCAATAGTTGATCCCTATACATTATCACAATGTTGCTGCAAATTAAATATTAGATTTAATTAAAAAATCCATGTTTTATTTTATATTATTATTATATGTATGTACTCATTTACAAGCAACTATTGAACATAGTGTTATTATTTTCTCTATTTAGAGAATCATACAATTAAAACAAATGTTAGAATTTACAATTTCTTGGAAATTATATTGTGGTGGTCAACATTAACATTTGGTTTAACATCGGTATGGTGATATGGTATGGTTCAACATTGGTCGTGCTGATATGGTTATGGTTAAAAACATCGGCATGGTGGTATGGTTTTGGTTCGACATCGGTAGTGGTGACATGGTTATGGTTTAACATCGACATGGTGGTATGGTATGGTTCAACATCGGTAGTGGTGATATGGTTATGGTTTAACATCGACATGGTGGTTTAGGATATGGTGATATAAAAAAAATAATAAAAAATTAGTTCAAACTTAGCACAAGGCATGTTGGTCAACATTATTTATATATAGTGGTTTATGATATGTTATCCAACAACAATTATAATTATAAAACAATATGATATTTATCAATATCAAGTTGGTCAAAATGATACATTTATATCAAAAAATTGGCCAACGTCCAGACGATGGTCGTATAAAGAGACCGAAAATTCGACAAGAGAAAAAACAAAAGAAAAAACAAAATTTTTATTAATATTATTATTTTATATATTTTTTTTCTTGTACTGATAAAACATGATGTATTGATTAAATTTTTTTTTTTCTTTCTTTAAACTTCTAAAGTTTGAATAAAAGAAAAATAAATTTTTTATGTAGGTGATCAATAGTTGATCCCTATACATTATCACAATGTTGCTGCAAATTAAATATTAGATTTAATCCAAAGATTTTTGAAACCACTTTTAGGTATTATTTTATAAATTTTTGAAAATTTTGATAAATTCTAAAGAATTCTATTTAAAATTTATGATCGCATATATGTCTTAGGCGAAATTAAACAGCATTATTGGAAGACTTGAAATTTAAAAAAAAAGATGCAAAAAAATAAAAATGAATAGTTCGTCTTATATATTTATTAAAAGAAGAATAAAGTTGACGTATAAAAAAAAAGAACATGTAAACGCTGTGGTAATAGACAGAGAAGAAAATACAAACAGACGACACATGATATATTTCGACTGACCTATATACTTTTTTTTCTTTCTATATAGTCATTCACTGATCGTCTAAGTTTGAAATAATGTCAAAATATACAGCTGATGAGATTTTGTACATGCAAATACAAGAAGAAGTATGTGCACAATCGTGGTGTAGTGAAATGCTAATTTTTTTTTTTAGATTGCAAAAGAACATAATGAATTACGTCGTCTTTTACGACTTCTTGTGCATGTACGATCTTTAGGTAATGCAACTAATGATATCGTTGCCGATATTGAACAAACAAAAGAAAATTTATATGATTTACATATGGCAAAAAGTAAGGAAAAAACCAAATATTGATATGAAGTACAGCAATATTTATTTTAGAAAATCAAGTTCAAAATATGTCTGAAGCACAAGAAAATTAATTATTTTTTTAAAAGACTAATTTAATTTAATTTAATTGAAAGTATTTTTTTTTATTCTATTATTTCTTGTACTTTATAATGTTTAAATTTGATTAAAAAAAGAGTTAAACTTACAAGGTATTGATTCATTATTGACAATAAAGGGTGGTCACAAAGTTTCGACCCCTCCTTTAGTAAATGAAAAATATTTATATCAAACTCATATGAAGGTATTGATTAAATTATGTCATTTTGTAGAGAAAGAGGAGCTATCATCTGAAAAAAGACGATTTGAAATACATATATATATTGTAAAGTTATCGTTATTTTACTAATTTCGAATGAAAAATTTTTATGTTGCGTTTTTTGCAAAAAACAAAAATATTTTTGTAACACCTGAGCTGGAATAGTTTTCTGGTTTTTTTTATATGGGTGAATAGAGTTCGTCAAGCTCTACAAGAATATGGATATCAACAATTCTGTTGATCCTGTTTTTGATACAAAATTGGAGACAAGTAGAAAGACTAGTAAAAATCTGATATATCATGTATTAAAGAAAGAGTGCTTAATTTCCAATACCTTTAGTCAATCGATTAGTTAGTCTGTTCCTGAAGCTCGAAAAGAGTATTTTCATCTACAGTACGTGACAAAATATCTCAAAACATAAAATAATAGACAGAACAGTCGATCTACCAAACTTATTGAAAGTTACGTATACTCTGCAAAACATGATTTGCCAGATTTTTATTAGTCTGTCTCATTGCTTTCAGGTTTTGTATTCAAAAGAGGATCAAAATTTTTTTTTTTGAATATCCATATTTTGGTAGAGCTTGTCGAACTCTATCTAATCATATAAAAATATCTACTAAAGATATGTAAAAATCCATATCTCAATCGACTTTGATTATTCAAATATTGCAAGAATATTTTTGTTTTTTGCAAAAAACTCAACATAAAAATTTTTCACTTGAAATTGGTAAAACGACTATAACTTTATAATAAATATATGTATTTCAAACTGTCTTTTTTTCAGATGATACTTCTTCTCTTTCTCTACAAAATGACATAATTTGATCAATACCTTTATATGAGATTGACATAGATATTTTTGATTTACTAAGGAGGGGTCGAAACTTTGTGACTATCATTTAGTAAGAATAATTAAAGCAATGATAAGAATAATAAAAAATTCGAATTGAATTTATATTAGATCGATTTTCATGTTTCTTTTCTTCATCTGTTGTTGAATCAGAAGATAGATCATAAATATTCAGATTAACAAGATAAGCTTTCAATGCGGACATTTTATTAATATCAAAATATTATTGAATTTATAAAGAAATTTTATTAATAAAATAAAGAAATTTCTTGTTGTTTTATTTAATAATAATCCATTTATTCACCTTAGAAATTAACAAACAATGAAAACTAATGCCCCTATCAAAAAAAAAGGCGAATCGATATGCTTCCAATACTTTTTCGTGGAAGTAAGATAAAGAACTGAGCATTCAAGGAGAAACAACTGGTTTTTTTTTTTATTTTCAATCAATTTTAAATAAAAAAAAATCCAATCAAGTATATAAAATACAATGAAATGAAAAAAAAACGAATGCATTAAATCTTGAAAGAAAAAAGAAGTCAATAAAAATCACTTTATTTTTTAGCTTTTAATCGTTTATTTCTTGCTACCATGATTTTAAAAAATCTTTCTGGCCAAAATCTTCTTAACCAAATTGCTAAATATTGTTGAAATGGTGCAATAATAACATCATTTTCTCTATATTCAATTGCTTTAACAATTCGTTTAGCAACATAATCAGGTTCATATGCTGATGATTTATTATCTTCAATTAATTTTTCATTTTTATTATTCATTCGATTTAATGCTTGTTGACCTAATTCAGTTCGAATATATGATGGACTAATAACACAAATATTTATATTTTGTTCTGCATATTGTTCTTTAAGTTCCATTCGTAATGAATCACTAAATGCTTGTACAGCATGTTTAGATGCTGAATATGAACTACGATCAGGTACAGCAATAAGACCTTGTAAACTTGATATATTAACAATAGTAGAATTTTTTTGTTTTTTTTCAATCATTTTTATTAAAATTAATTTTGTTAATGTAACAAGTGAAAAATAATTTAAACGAAATATATCATTAACAATATCAATTGATGTATCAAATACAGATGAACGTTGACTTATACCAGCATTATTAATTAAACAATCAATTGTTTCATGTTCAAGAATATTCATTAATATTGATGATGATGTTATATGTTCATAATTAGATAAATCAATTTGTATTATTTTTGGTTTTGGATATGTTGGATGTAAATTAGAAAGTTCTTGACGTAAATTTTCAAGACGATCTAAACGTCTTGCTAAAAGAATTAATTGACATTGTTTATTAAAAAGATATCTTGCTAATGCTTCACCAAGACCTGATGAAGCACCAGTAATTAAAACTGTTTTTCCATCAATCTTAATTCGTTTTCGACATAATAATCGAAGAACTATTAATGAACAACAACAACAACAACCAATTGAAACAGCAATTAACCATATCATCTACAAGAATTATTTTTTTTATTATTAATTAAAATTTTAAAAATAAAATAAAATATCAAATTTCACAAAAAAAAAATAGAATTTATTTGTTTAGAAATTAAGAACAATATTGTCATTTATAGATGAAATGTTACACGTGATTGTTTATATAATTGCCATGTTAACGTACCAAAATATTGATATGTTGTATCATATAATTGTATACGAATTAATTCTTCTTTATTTTCGAGTTCTAAATAAAATATAAAATTGAATGCAAAAAAAAAAGAAACAAGAATTTACCTGGATAATGCTAAGCTTTCTTTTGTTTATAAAGATGTTTGGCTAAATGAACAGCAATTTTAATAGTCATTTCAGGAATAGTTGATATTGATGGATAAATATGGCCAGAATCTAAGTGTTTTTGAGTTATTAATGAACCAAGTTTCTTCAATGAAAAAATATATGCATTTTCGAAAGTTGATATTATCATTTTTTAATTTTTAGCTCAAGATAGAAGATTAATCTGATACTATATACTTTTCAAAGGCTATCACAAGATTTAACTGAAGTCAATGTACTCTCGTACTTTTCTTTGTCTTGATCTATCCATAACAGACTATGAATCTCTTGAGCCTCCCTTTGCTTATCATTGATTTTCATCAGACGGTGTATTTTTGTTCTACACAATCATATTATAATGATAATTGAATAGAAAGAAGACAATTGTTTTTTAATAAGAAGGCAAGGAAACTATATCTACCGTACAGTATGACTATATGAAATATGGATTGATTGAATATAATATAAATCAAGAAAGCATAAAAATCAATCAACGATCAATATGCATTTCAGTGATATTCTGAGATGATACCTATAGTATAAAGTGAACGAAAAGAATGGTAGCCGAAACGATGATCACTGGTATAGATCATCAAGAGAAATTCGATGATCTCTATTTTCCATAAAGTTCGTTCCGACGATGACATGTACAATCAAATATGACAGATAAGTAGTCAGATTTGATAGTCTGTTTGAAACTCTGAAGCATATTACTGTTGATGTAATCATTCCATAATATAAGAACAATGATGATAATGAATGTTTGACATTTCAAATCTTCTAAGATGTCAAACATTCATTATGATCATTTTTCTTATATGATTATAATAATTATTAGTCGAATATCTTTTTCAAGTGAAAAAAAATGTCAAATTTCGCTATATCTACAGAAAATTCTTATTGTCAGAAATATTGATTTGTTTTATTCTATTCCTAATTTACTATTGATAAGTTGTTCAATCAACATATTAAATTTTCTCCCATAACAAATTATAACAATCAATGTATCAGTATAACATCTGACAAGTTCTCATTTGTCATTCAGTCATTTCATCCTGTTTTTCATAAAAATCTTATAGTTATTAATCTGACAACTTTGTAATACAAAGAAAATTATATTTCAAAAGTATATGTAATGTCTATTTTCTACTATACCAATCACTACCTCGATGTTCTCTTAAAGAAATTTAATAAAAATAATAAAATTTTCTTTTAATTTGATTATATAACAATATTATACAATAGTCAATAACATTCTCTTGCCTACAGTAATTTGATCAATCTAAAAATTATTTAAAAAAAAAATTACTTCAGCAACAAGTAAAAACAGATCATCTTCCACATGACGAACTGCACATGTCATTGTAGCTAAAGCAATAGTTGAAAATATATGAGCATTACTTCTTAGGCCTAGAAAAAAGAAAAAGATAATCACAAAAATATAAATAATTATCTAGAGTAATAATACCTGGATGAAATATTTTATCCTTATACATGACCGATTTAAATGGACTATCTAATGCAAATATACATCTATCCTGAACAAAATAAAAATATGAAAAAATTAAATGAAGAAATATGATTGTTACCTATTAGTACGATTGATTTTCTTTTTTGACATAATCAATTATTGTTGAAAGATCTTTAATTACTCTTCATTTTTTTTTATATAAGATGCTTTAGGATCTTCTAAATCACCTTGAAGTCGATTCTACATAATAATAACATTCAATATATATTTTTAAAAAAAATCACTTGCTTTTTCTATTCATTGTTCAAAGCAAAAACAAAAATTAGAACAATAAGTCTATGTGTATCGTTGCATGTGTTACTAAATTAGCTATACCACAGGCTGTCTACAACCGAATATTTTTATTTAAAATTGAATTGATATGTCTTATGTCTTATTTACTTTACCAGAACCAACAAAAAGATATGTATTGTTATTTAATCTTTTATTTGTTTTACGAAGTACTGCCAAGAGACCAACAAGAATAATTGTAGTTGTATCTAAATTAAAGAATTATTCTATTTTTGTCTTAATAAATCTATTGAATCGTGTCAAATAATCAGAAATTCGAGATAAAGGTAAAGATAACAAAAATAATCTTCATCTATTGCGTTTCCATTTTCTGAAACATGTATTGATAATTATTATCCTTATTTGTGTCATATTCCGTGATCGTTAAAACATACTACTAGACAATATTTTCCAAAGATTGATTTTGATTATATAGTTTGACTGTTTAATTTCTCATAGAAATCGAACATTTCTTTTCCGTACGGTAGATAATCATTATGAAAGTCTATCCAACCCATTGATAAAAATTTAGTCAAGTAAATCTCGAACAAAATAGATTTTTTTTTTTGTTTTGTTTTGTTATATATTTCTTATAGAATTATTAGTAACAGTTTATATTCAGCTCACATTTTTGAACAAGGACGTAGGATGAATTTGATGAGTTTTACTCAGGAGAATTGTTGTCTTTTTCTTCAATATATTCTATCTTTAGAAATCTAACCTTGAATATTATCATTAAATGCACAATCATGTTTTTGATATTTTTCAAGAAGCTTTTTTTTTGTATTGTTGACTAGCAAAATCTTCAAATTGTATAAGACAATGCCAGCCGAAACTAGAAAAATACTTTTTTTTTTTGTATATTTTTATCGATTGAATACTTATTTAATTTACCGTTGCACGACTGCTTGCATAAATTTATTAATGAATTCGTCATATTCTTTACCCACAACACGTTTTTGTCGTAGACCAATATAAAGAGGATTAGATGCAATCTCCTTGTAACAAGAACAGAAAATTATTTTCTTTTTTTTTTTTTGTCTCGTAAGAATTGCTATCTACTAACTTCATTATTTGTACCAACATCAAGCATAATAGGTAAGCAATGTCGTGGTAATATATCAGCAATAGCTAAAAAAAAATATATTAAAATATTATTTTATTTTTGTGATTTATTCGATCGAAATATCTGAAACGTGATTTCAATTAGTTTCGCAATGATCTTATGAAATTTATTTCAGAATTCTTTGAATTAGAAAGAAAAAATTATTATGAGTTGTATTCGTTTCGATTATTTTATAAGATTCTTATTCAAAGTTTCCAAGTAGTATAACAATATTTATATCTCTTATTTCAACATGAAATAACATAGCTATTAAGATTGATGTTATCGTCTGTTTAATATAGAACAAATATTTGAACTTTATTAAATTATTAATAGTTAATAATTATTATTGCGCTTGTGCTACTTATAGAAATTACATAATAGATAGTGAAATATAGTTTAAGATTGATAAGATATATTTTTTTCTGCCTTTAAGCGTTTAACAATATAAAACGGAAAATACCAATCATAGTTTCCGTATTATTTATATAATCATGTTATAGGTAATGACATGTATTTGTATTCATGCTATGATGATTTGAAATATAAAGTTTGAAATATCTTTTTTCTTTTTATAATGGAATACTTAGAAAAAATATATTTCATTTTATTATAATATAAGAATAAATGCGTAAATTGTCATTTAAATTTAATTACCTGTATATAATTGTAATTTACCAAAAGCACCTAGTTTTCCTAGATTTAAAATTCATTCACCATCTGTAATTACAATTGCTTTAACTTGTTGTTCTGTACAATTATAATAATACATCATAGATATGATCTTTATCATGTATTGTAATTAATATAAAATCGATCTGCAATAACTCAATTAAGATCATCTATTATTAATATAAATAGAAATTATTTCGAATATTTCATCTGTTATATAGATTTACCTTGCGCTAGATAAATATTTGTCATTAAAACGAAGAGCTTGAATATCTTGTGAAACAACTGTTGGTGGTAAAAAAAAAGCATGTATATTTATATGTTGTCTTTCTTCGAGTGTAAATCCTATACCCTAATCAAATAAACAATCTTTATTTATAATCTAAGATTTCTTTTTTTTTTAAATACTTTATTTAATGATGGATTTCACAGTAATTCAATATCTTTGTTTGATGAACAAGGTCTAGTAACTGATTGACATTCATCAGTACTAGTAACTTTATATCTTTGTTGATATTTAACGTAATTAGTTTTATGATAAAATAATCGAGCGGAACAGACGTATCATTTTGTAATGAGAGATATTTCTTTTGTTTTTCTTTGGTTAAATATTATTATTAATAATTATCGGACTACATGAATTAAAGATTAATAATCTAAAGAATAATTTTAAAATAAATAAAACTTTTTTTATTTTCGGTTAGATTAAATATGTACTAAGAAAAACAAAAGTGCGACATTATGATGAGTTTCAAATGACCTACAGTGTATTTTTTTAAGAAATGACCTAAATTTATCAATTAAAACGAAGAATATATGAGGCAATGATTAATTATACTATGGTTTCATGATTAAGTATCAGATTTTTTTTTTTGTTTTATCTCATTCATAGAAAATTTATTTACTTAATGGAACAGTTGTTAATCTATGACAATATTTAATTCTTTGATTATAATCTAAGTCGCATCATTTTTATTCTTTTTTTTTTTTTGTCAGAGATACACATTTCATGGATTTTATCAGTGTAGATATTTGCCATTTTGACCTAGACCATGTTTCTTAACTCTTCTATTGAAGACACAATGATGGATCGAATTTCTAGGCTAAGCTATTTTACCATTTATGATTATAAAAATCACAATAGCAGTAAATAATTTGACTCTCGTAGGTGGATATACAGTAATTAGCCCTTTGGCTATCGATGACACATAAATGTATTAAGAGCTTTATCATCATATAAAACTAATGTCATCGCCTAAAATGCATGTTTTTGAGACATATTTGCATAGAAGCAAATGTTAAGTGTCTGGAGGATAAGAAACAACAAGGTGCATAGTGTACAGTCACTCTGTTTTATCAATGTTTATTTCTTGTCGGTAATCAAGAAGTTAAGAATTGAACCATTGTCGTGCTATTTACTATTTAGAGGTTTGTTAATTTTTTATCTTTGTCTTCTCGTTTTAATCCAAATTTTAGAAGTTTTTTTTTTTTATTACGTTAGTGAAAAATATTAGATAAATATAAATTTTAGGTTGAGTTCACTTCTCATATTCATTTTGAAGGATATCATCGTTGTCATTTTTTTTTTTGTTTCTAATTTATAGAGATATGTCAAGAGACATCCATTGTTTAATCGAAGATGAAATGCATGTAGACAGTAAGACTGAGAGTCCCATGTGAGACATTTATTCATTAGGTGGTAATCAAGAATTTCCTTTCTTACGTGTTCACCTACGCATAAATCTTTTTACCTATATAGGCTTATACAATAAATAAAATGGAAGAACATTTAAGAAAAAAAAAAGATAGTCAAACAGATCTATGTGCTATGTAATAATGAATTTATTATAGTAAAAAAAAACAGATAGTATATATATATATATACAGAAAGAGAGAGATTTCTCTTCGTGATAAACATATTAAACGCATAATTAGAGCTTATTCTATTTGTCATGCATATTCATTAATTATATGAAAAAATAGAATCTGAGCAATGCTTAAAAAGATAGATCTTAAACATGCACAAAAACTCATGTCTTAAAAATTATGAAAAACTAATTACTTTTTTTTTTTTTTTTTGCTTTATTTTCTTTTCTATTTTGTAGATTGTTTTTCAAACAATTTTATAGCTTTCTTTTTCTTTTTTTTTTTTTTTTTTATTCATTTATTCTCATTTGTTTTTCTTTTACAGTCTAAGAAACATCCGTAGGAAAACATATAATCCTTTCTTATTACTAAAAAACGATTATAATTATCTTATTTGGAAAGTTAAATATCTATTAAGAAACAACAACAACAACAACAATAACAACAAAAAATACCCCATGTCGATCATCAAAGATAAACTCGCTAATCGTATGTCATGGATCATATTTATTTTCCTTGCTATTCACACGGCTCAGGTTCTTTCGGGTTTCACTGATGTTCCACGTAAGTTATTTAAAAAAAAAGAAAGATTCAATTAAATATTTAATTTATTTTGCTTTTTTTCTTTCTTCAGCTCCACCTCCACGACCAGAGCGTTTTCATTCTCGTGAAGAACTTAAACGTTATTTACAACTCGTATGTTAATATCTATTTTTTTGTTTGTTGATTTTGTAATTTTCATCGAAAAAAAAAAAAAAAAAACTAAAATTTTAATTTAAGGTACATGAGTATTATGCTATTATTGGTCGACCACGTTTTGGTCGTTCTATTCAAAAATTAAAAATAAATCCAAGTGATGTCAGTCTCTTTAATTTCTTCGATAAGAATGGCGACAAATCAATATCATACGAGGAATTTTATGGCCGACTTGGAGCATAAAAACAATAGTGTATGTGTAGTATTACACAGTATACTGTTATCGATTAACATTTATTTATTTTTTTATTGTGCTTCTCTTTTTTTCTTTTTTTCATCTATAGATGAACTTATTTTCACTTCGGTGATGATGATGATTCATGTTATATCAAAGTGGCCTTCAATTCTTTGTTTGCTTCTTCTATAATGCTTGTGTATCTATCATCTTCTATTCAAATACAATAAAATTGACCGTGCCTGATCTATATTGATTCATAGAAAATATGTAGTAGATACCAACAATAGACAGATTTTCCCTTGGGAATATATAACATGGGAGACAACAAAAAGAAATATATATAATTGCAATCAATTCTTTTAGTATATATTGTCACTATCAAAAACATGTTTTTTAGAAACAATAAATTATATATTTTTTGAAAATCTTTGTAGTCAAGTATTACACTATATTTTTATGCTTCATTTTGTAATTCTTTGCTAAAAAATATATTGAATTATCTTCATTATCAGATTGCAATTTGATACTATCTTTTCAATATGTTTTAAGAGAAATTGAAATTCTCTCTCTCTCTCTGATCATATATTTCTTTAAAAAAATAATTTGAGTATATTGAATATACTTGGTACGAAAAATCCATATTTTTAGTTTTTTACATAATTTATGGTTAATATTAGAATAAGATTTCTTTTTTGGAATAGTAATTATCCAACATTCTGTATTTTATAAAGTATTCAGCTTTCAATTATATTATTTCCTGACTAATATTATAAATAATTTTCACGAATTTTGCATATAACTTTCATAATTATATTTTTAGACTGCTATGTAAATAATTATCTAAATATTTCATATGATTGACCTATAATCCGGCAATATGCTACTACTGAGTGTATCTCTGATAAGTAATCGTTTATTTATAGTATCTTTTGATGGAACTCAGAATATATATATATATAGAAGCAAATGCAAGATCTATTTGTGTTATCTCGAAACCTTTTGTTTATAGTACTATTGAGAGTGAATTTTTCTTTTACATGTTATTAGAATGGATGATTAATTTTCCAAAAAATTTATTTCTATATTAGTCATAAATTATTTAAAGAATAAAGAAATTAATGGAAAAATGCAGATTTTTGGTACTTGCCAATTACGAGTACGTTCCATGTATTGAAATTAGTTTTCAAGAAAATACATTATTATTTCTATAATGATGATAAATTAAACAAAAAAACAAGACAAAGAATAAATCGATTGAAACTATTTTTTTCTCGTGTCAAATATAAACATAACATTCAAATAAATGAATAAGTTGGTGTTATGTTTTCATATTTACTAAGAAAAAAAACTATTAAAAAGAATAGAAATTCAAAGCATGTATGCATTAACTAATTAATATTATGATTCTAAGTTTTAAAAAAGTCAGATCTACTAATTAATTCGATTTATTTTTTCAAACATACGGAATTTCTTAGTAGAAGAAAACCGCTCAAATTTATTGAATATAAGAAAAAAAATATACAATTATGATTATTGATTCTTCTACTTTGATCCTGAAAACTTCTTCTCGTAATCTTCTACTCTAGTGTTTTCTTCGGTGAAAAAAACAAATCTTTTATGTTGACATTCAACACATTATTCTATCCTTTCGCATGATTCATTTCTGCGACGTATTAATTATATTCAATACGATATTATTAGGCAAACAAAAGTTTGTTAAACTATTTTTATAGCATTTAACTTTTCTGAAATATAAATACAATTTGAAATCTTGTCTTCCAGATTCAAAAGTAGATTTTCTTTATCTTTATCTTCGACAGTTCAAAAAGTCACATTTTTGTGATATATTGAAGTTCGAAATAGTTCAAGTACAAAAGATAACTCATATGTTGATGTAATGTTCAAAATTATTGTTATTTGTATAACTTTGTCTTAGCTAATTTGAAAAAAAGTATTTTAAAGATAAATAACATCAAATATGAAGATATCAATAAACGAATATTATAATCATACTGAATAACCTTACTAAATATTTATAGATAAGTATTCAGTTCTAAATGGAATGATCTAACAGTGTAAAATATTTTTAATAATAAATGAACTGTTTCTATCGTAGTTCAATTCTAAAAAATCTTTTATTGTAAATAGATATTCGTTTATTATTAAAAATGTTTTTCTCTTGTGTCGTTCAATTATGCATAAGCGCGTGTGTGTGTAACTAATAATTAACAAACAGAAAAGGAACAAAAAAATTGTACGGTGAATTGTAAATAGGACTGAATTGTTAGACTTCTATGAATGAAACTATAATTTATTTGATAACATTTCTATTTAATCAAGAAAAAAACGATATCATATCGTACGTGTTGATATATACGAAGTTAATATAAATTAGTAATCTGCAATAAATAAAACACATTTTCTTCAAAAAGTGAATTTTTCTTTTAATATTAAATTTTATCTTTTTATTAATTTTAATATTATTATCTTCTTAAATGGTTGATTACACGATCTTCACGAACAAATATCAGGTATATGGTGTTATCCAATATAGAGTAAATTATAGATTAATTGTTTATTATTAACTAATGATAAAATTCTTAACATTGTTATTATTCAGCAATATGTTGTAATATACAGTTTTGGCAAAAAAAAGTTCTGTGACACTTTTGATTATTCTATTTTTCTCCAACATTGACAAGAGCACAGAGTATAGAGTAGTTTTGTTTTGGAGATCATAGAGTATAGACATTTTCTGTAAAAGAACTTAAGCATAAATCCTGGGTATTCTTTCAAAACCTGCTGAATTCACTGTAAATGCTAAGAATATTCGGAAGTTTCTGCTTAAGTCATTTTCTAGAAAATGTCTATACTCTATGATCTCTAAAATTAACCTATTCTATATTCTATTCTCTTGTCAATGTTGAAGAAAAGTAGAATAATCAAAAGTGTCACGAAACTTTTTGTCAGTACTGTATTACTTAAAGTAATATACCGATATGATCTTTGCATATATTACTCATCGTCCGCACTATAGAGATGCATCAAATTACTTACTATGATTTGAATAAAAACAATTATAAAATTTAATTACTCAAAATTATTACTATATATGTTGTTTTAAATATCAATCACTATTATATAAATATTGATTTTTATGTTTGAACTCTAATCGTATACTAATAAGAGAAATCTATCAGTTGATCAATCGCTTTTGATATCGAGACTATGTGCATCGTGTGTAGATTCTAATGAGCTATGAGTATTCCGAAAAAAATTCGTATTCTTAGCCTGTTGCTTAGGAAATACTGCATTTTTTTTAAAAACTGAATGCTGTGGTTCCCCTCAGCAACACCAGAAAAATTTCTTCTCGAATTTCGACTTCAAACTTTGCATAAAGACAGGATTTAAAGTCGAAATTCAACAATCAGTTTTTCTGGTATTGCTAACGAATATATCGTAAAAATGCAGCAACTCCGTAGCAATACGACTGGACCTCTTCTCAAGGTATTCATAGTTCATTAGAGTCTACACGATGCACATAATACTAACTCAAAAAATGATTAATCAATTGGAGGACTTTCCTTGCAAGTTACGAATGGAAATATCTGACTTTACGATTAAAAAGCAGCAGCACTAATTTTATGTAAGTATTTTCCTACCTTTCGAACAATCTCGATAACTTATTTTATTGCAATTATAAATTTGCCTACGATGTATATGAAACAGGTCGAATTCTATATATGTCAAAAATGAAATTGATGCTAACAAACAATGTAGTCAATTAATTATCTAATGTATTTACCTGATAATTTCAAATAGACGTAAGTATCATATTTGTTTAAATGTTACAAATTTTTAGACATGTTATTCTAATCTATTCAGATCGTTTGTAGTATACTGGTTTTAATAAACATCAACCGAGTTTTCTTTTTTGAGATGTTTCAATAAATATACACTTAATTTTGATTTACCTTGAAAATTAATCAGTAGATTATAAATCTTCAAAGCAAAATAAAAATAAAAAAGACTTTAATAATCTTATTCATACTTGAAAATCAATGTTGATCCATTATCATAATAATACTTTTATGTCTTCAATTGTTTTTTAAAACAAAAAAATTTCTTATCAATTCTTTTTTTTTTTTTTTAAATAAAAACTATTGTAAAATAATACATGACTAAGACATCTAGAGAAATACAATCTAAGTTTTATTTGTTGGAGTTTAAATAAAAAAAAAAAAAGAATGAAAAGGGATAGGATGATATTTTTCTTTTAAGAAGAAAAGCAATAATCATAAACTATTCGGATGAGAAAAAAAAAAAAAATTAGTTCGTTTATCGTTTTATGTCACTCTACATATCATCAACTGATTTTAAAGCCAATTCTGGTTTATCATAACCTAAATCTTCTGGTGATGATACACCTAATTCACTCAATGTTGGACGAATTTCTTGAAGAATCCATGGCCATACTTCTTTTGAAACAGCATTTGATTTATAACGAATAGCTTCTAAATATCGAACAGCTAATGAATGATCATTAACACGTCGACATGCTTTTAAACAAGCTGTTATTATTTCTGGTTCAGGAATTAAATCAAGACGATTCATATGATTAATACCTTGTCGAATATCCCAACCTGAAATCTTCCACAAAAATAAAAAAAGAGAATTAATTAAATACTTTTTAAATTACCATCAATACTAGGACGATCAAAATATGCTTTCCATCGTTCATCAAATTCTTCATCAGTTTCTTTACTATGTGATGACATATTTCGATTTATTGTTGTCCACATAGGTCGTATTGTTTTATTTAATGATTGAATAAGAACTGAACGAAATAAATAAGCCATCTAAAATATAATTTCACAGTTTTTTTTTATACATATTTAAATAAAAAAAAGAAAAAGAAAGAATTAAATATTAACTAATAAATAAAAAAGAAAAAAAAAACACAGAACCTATTGATCACAATGTATATCAAGTTCTTCTATTTGTTTATCAATACTTTGAATAGCTTTGAGTAATATTTGTTTACGTTGATTTAAAATATTTCGTTGCATATTAGAATGATTACTTATTTGACTATTATTATCAATTGTATATTCAGATAAATAATTATTATTATTCGATGGATATGTAGATTCAGCATTTGAAAGTAAACGATGAAAATTTTGTTGTTGTAATTTAGTAATTTCATCATCATTTGATTGATAAAATTCATTTTGTTTTCTTTGATCAAGTGAACAATAAGATGTAGCAATTGAATCAGTTGTATCTGTTGAAGAATATTGATTTGATATCAATTTTTCAGTTATTGTTCTTGTAGGTCTAAAGAAAAATGCAATAAACTAATTGATTCATTTCATATTCAAAAACAAACTAAAGGAAGTGGCGCTTTTTCCATAGGCTACACCTTCCCCCCCTCGCAAGGTTTCTTTTCGTTTCAATATTTTTTGATTGTGGGTAGTATGAAGATGTAAAATCACCCAGAAAATAGGAAGTATTTAGGGGTTTCTATAGTCGAAAGTTGGTTTTTATGTAAAATGAGTATGATATTCGTAATCAGCATGAAAAATTACACTAGACAGTTTATTTTTTATTGTAAAATATTTTCCATGGAAATCTGACCTCCTACTCCCCCTCAACCTTTTATCCATGAGATTTTTCCCCCTGGTCCCCTACGGATCAAATTTTCATGGAAAATATTTTACAACGAAGAATAGACTGTCTAGTGTAATTTTTCATGCTGATTCTGAATATCATACTCATTTTATATAAAAAACAACTTTCGATTACAGAAACCTCTAAATACTCTCTATTTTCTAGTATTTTCCTATATAAATGACCGTACTCTAAAATATTGTTTTCTTTTTGCTAAGACTAAAAATATCCAAGGTCTGGTTGGGTGATTTTACAACTTCATACTGCCTGCCCACAACCAAAAAATATTTGTACGAAAAAAAACCTGCGGGGGCGTAGAAGCGCCACTTTCTTTGATAGATTAGTAAAAATGAATCAGTGAAAAAGACATATCAACTTATTAATGATAAAGAATTAATAGATTAAAGAATCTACTAAATAAAAAAAGTTATTACATACTCAATCTTATAAATGCGAAAGTCAACATACCGAAAAAAAAAACCTTTGTTCGCACTGATTTGGATCATTTTTCGCGATCGGTATTCTGCATTCGATAATACAAGATTTAATATTTTATAGTAGAAATTTGACCTGTGAAAGTATTAGCTTGTCATAATGCATCGAAAAATACTATAGGATGTTTCTACTGATCTTTATGAACATATACTCACACAAATAAGAATTTGCTATTGGATAATACAATAGGTGTTAATCTGTTAAAACTTACATTATTATGAAAAATATTTTTGAACGACAGAATCAATAGGTAACATGAAAGGATTTTGAAAATGTTGTCACTAAGGTAGAACTAACCTTAATGACTTAATTAATGCCTACAGGCTTCAAATGTAAAAGAACAATCAGTGTCGCTTTCGAGAAAATAAATAAGTCTATCCGATTTTTCGAAAATTCTCTAATGAAACTCGATAGTTATTGTATTGGTTAATAATTGTTATGGATGTAGCCGTCTTTGGTAACGAAAAAGATTGAGAAACCTTTCTGTAGTAAAAAAAATTTACAGTATATCTACTCGATTCCGAATGCTGATGCGTTGGACAACATCTTTCTTCGATTTTCGAAAATATTCCGCATCTTCACTGAGAATATAATGCCATGGTAACATCACTAATTCGAAGACATCGTGCATAATTCCTTCTTCTAAAGAACAGATATTGAGTGAGTACTCGTTATGAATCACAGAAAATCGAACTCAAAATTTTTGAAAAGTTGATTAGAGACTCTTTCATTCATAACTATCTTCTTCAATACTAAAAGATGCTGAGGATTTCAAACCTACAATAAATACTTATCATACCTAGCTGCTAATGATTGTTCTACTCGATTTGACATAGTATTCATTGAATCTATTGATGATTGATTTGTTTTGTTTACAATTGAATTTTGAGAATGTCTTCCTGTTGTTGATCTTTCTGGTACATATAATTGATTTAAATAAGCAGAAATAAGTTTAGCTGCTGCATGACATCGTGCTATAGAACAATGACTTATACCTAATTGTAAATGATATGGACAACGTTCTTCAATCATAAATGAATAAGCTGCATTTGCAAATGTTTTTTGTATATCATCACGTGATACATGATATTTTTTTAATTCAGCTAAAATCATAATTAATGATTCAATACTTGCTAAATTAACAAGACGTGTATCTTTTGTTGGTTTTATTCCTATAAAAAAAAAGAGATAAAAATTTCTTTTTTTCTTTTTTGAATTAACCCTCGGCTTTTTCTTGTAACCAATCGAGTAATGTATAAGTTTGTTCATATTCTAATGATGGAAAAAATACACATGGTTGTGTTAATCGAAGATATCGTCGACGTGTTCGATCATCATTATTCGAAATATGATTTATTTTATTAATTGTTGTTGATAGAAGAAATGATTTTAATTCATAAAAAATTTCTTCATAATTATCTGTTGCTTCACTAAAATTGTTTAGTGGAATTTGATGTGTTTCTTTTAAATGTTCTAAACATGATGACATATAACCTGATGGAATTTTATCAGGTTTCATAAATTTTTGTCTATACATTGTTACACCTTCAGTTAATGTATACTATTTAAAAAACCAAATCAAATAATTAAAAACAAAAAAAGAAAATTATCGTACACGTAGAATACACATTTCAGCTGGAATAAATTGTCCACCATCTTCTTCATCAACTTTACAGAATATTTGAAAATTAATTATATATATTGGCATTAATAATAATTCACTTATATCAAGTGGTAAATATTCACTTGTTAAAAAATTTCTTTCTATAGTAAAACGATCATAATGATGTTTTAATTCTTCACATGGTATATCACGTTCATGAAGAATATTATCATTGTTAATTTGTTTTTTATTTTTTACATATTGATTTGATACATTGACTGATTCAGGATTTACACGATATTGTATACGCCATTCTTCATATTGAATTTTATATGGTTGTTTTTCTTCTTCTGATAATGCTTTCCAATCATCATAACATGCAGTTATTGCTTCATTAATATTCATTCGTTGACCATGACGACGTTGATAGTCCCGAGCATAAAAGAATAATGGTGATCGATTTGGTCGTGGCATATATTTATTAAAAATCTAGAAATAGAAAAATAACTGTTCTATATGCAAAAAAAAACAAACAAACAAAAGCAAAACTTTCAATACATACTACATGCTAAAGATATCAAATGAAAAACAAATTCACATTATTTTTCAACTTTTTTCTTGTTCAAAAATCAACAAAAAAGAAAAACAAAGAATTCTTCAATCTTTTTGGTCAATCAAAATTTACACTTGAAAAAAAACAGACTTATAATTACAAAAAAAAAACAAATCATAATCAACATACATACACAAAACAAAATATATATGAGACTACTAAACGGATGAAAAACAAAATACAAAGTTAAGTATAATTTCAAAAACAAAAAAAAATAATTTTTCACATGAGATTCTTTATACATTTTAAATGTTTTACTTATCATACTATTGCATTAACTTGAAAAGTCCTGGCATCGACGGTATAAAACTAGTACGACGACCACGACCAATATTATTCACAAAAATATATCTATCTGAATCATTACTATTTATTGTAGATGAATATTTGACTGGTTTTCTTATACCACGACCTGTTGATATATATTGATCTTCATTATTAGTATTATTGTTATATGATGAAGATTTTGACCAATGACCATCAATTTCAATTGAAGGTGCTGCTCGTTGTTTTGACAATTTTAATAACTAAAAGAAAAAACAAACAAAATGTTATTCGTCAGTCAAAGAAATTTTCAACAGTATTAATACAGAATAGGTTATTTTCATACAACATCAGATCCGATCGTAGGCGGTAGAAGCATAGAGTTTGGGTAGGCTCAAACACTTTTTTATCTTCCCATCAGATTGATGAATTTGAGCAGTGCATCAAAATTCTTGTACAAATGTCAATAGTTTTTGCCGCTTTCATAGAATGAAATCTGAATCGAATTTTTTTCTAATCTTCACCACTATTATACGCTGCAAAATGCGAGTGCGAAAAAAAGAACCACTAACTGTACCTGATCGAAATGGCATACAAAAACTAGTTCTCTTCCATTTTTAACCTTCAGATACAGGTTTTATAAAAAATGTTGAGTTTAACTTAGAATCAAAACCCTCCGTTACCTCTTCATATAAATTCAGAGAATTTACTACTTAGTCTCACTTAAGAAGCTAAGAACAATGTTATAGTGATTTTCTTCATATTAATAAAATCTGTGAAAATTTCTACTGAATGAAAGAAATTTTAATTAAGTATAAGAATGAACGTAGTAGAAATCAGCGATGATTGTCAACGATATTCTCGCTTCATTGTTTTGCAGCTCATCGGTAAACTGAAATTTCGACAATCTTTTTTATTATGGAGATTCTGAAAGAACCTTTTTTTTGGGTACACTGGCACATAATACGTGATACAATAACCAGAAACTCCTGGAAGGCCGATCCAATCTTCGGAGGAGCGGTACATTCTCAATCTTCCGACTGTGTTTCATTTAATAAGTATTTTTTATACCACCAGACATCTTAGAAACGAATCATCACAGATGTTATTAATAGACGATCAAAAAACTTCTTCATTGGATTTCTGAAGGATTAAGTAATAGAAAGTATTCCATAATAGACAGAATAAAACAATATTTCTGTGATTATCAAGAGCAGCTACATTTAATCCCCCAAGGATGACACTAACAATATCTTAAGTGAATAAAAAAAAATCATTTACTTTGTTCTTCATTGATAAATTGCTTATTTGTTGATCTGTTGAAGAAGAAACATTTGTTGATGATGATTGAACAAATACATTTGAACCTATTGTTCCTAATTTAATTGTATCTAATTTATTTGTCTAAAAAATATAAATCAGAAAAAAAAGAAATCTAAATAATTATTTCTTTTACTTTTTGTTGTTGTGTTAAAACACGTAAATTTTTTTGTTTTTCAATATATGTTGAACTAATTGAATCGATTCCTGATAGTATTGATTCATTACTTATTGATTTAATTTCACACATAATATTATTTATTGGTGATAATTTTGATAAATTTTTATCAATTATTTCATTTTGAACATGTGAAGAAAATGATTCAATAAACCGTTGTCGAACAAATCCATCAAGAAAAAGACTAAAACCGTGATTAATAGCACGAGAACAATATTGTATAGCTAATGAATCATGATAAATACATCGTTCTTTAACTTGCATTGTATAAACAGGCCGACGTAATTGTTCTCGAACACTTTGATGAGCAAAATCACCAATACCAAGACGACGAAGTATTGCAGCAGCTAAAGCTTCAAATGAACAAATACGAAAAAAAGGTTTTGATGTTTGTTGTTGTTCATTATTATTGCCTTTGGATACAAGCCAATTAAGAAGATAAGTTGTTTGATCACGTTCAAATGCATTACAAAATATTATAATTGGTTCATTGATAGATGAATCAATAATTGAATCTAATCAAGACAAATTTTATTTCAAGATTTTGATCATACATAGAATATTCTCTAGAGTAGCATAGTCTTCAAAAGATTCAATATCTCAGTTAATGTAGAATCGTTTAGGGAAGAGAGGTCGTGCTACTCTACTTATGAACTATATTCATAATAGAATTCTATTTAGTTGACTATCGAGTTTATTTCTTAATGATAAGAAAGTTCAGGCGAGTAGATTGTCGAAGATATTGAAGAGATTCTAAAGCTGACTCGATTGCATCAGAAGAATTCACAATATTTCTACGTGATTGTCAAAGTTCCATTTCTAAATAGACCTTAATTAGCATGCATAAGTTATCAGATTTTTGATCGAATCGAATCGAAATCCTTAGATGTTTCCTTCCGATTTCAGTTATTTTCTTTTTGTCTGTAGTTATTAAATAGTATTCTAATAAAAATTGGATTCCACTAAACTATCGAATTTTGATCTGAAACTTTACGCATATAGAAAGTTTTAAACAAATTCTCTTCAAGATATAGACACTTTTTCATGAATATACATTTTTTTGAAAGTTTCATATTTTGAAGAGAATTTGTTTGAAACTTCTAAATTTTGTTTTTTTTATGGAAGTCAATCTAGTTGAGTTCTCTATATGTGCAAAGTTTCAGATCAAAATTCGATAGCTTAGTGAAATCTCATTAGGAACCTGGATTTTACTAAAACACTATTTAGTATCTATTGGTAACATATCATTGAAACCGGAAAGACTCATTTAAAGAGATTCTCTCGTAAATCTTAAATAGAAAAACTTAAAAAGTCTATTTACTACAATGTCGAACTAAATATTTGAACTATCTATACAAACTTCTTTATCTATTTTTAGGGTAACCGATGGCCACACTACACTATAATTATTATGAATTATCAATAAGATTTTCGTTTAATATTATATATGAGCATGTTTTCCTTGTAAAGTATATTTATTCATGAAAAAAAAAAAAGTTTTATATATATTACTAACCACCAATTACTCGTTTGACTTCTTGCCATATTCGTTTATAATCTCCATTAGCACCAACAAAATCAAATGGTGGAATTTGATGTGTTTCACGAGATAAATCAATAGCTGTACCAGTATAACCAACAGGAAATTTTTCTGGTTTAATTATTGTAAAATATTCTTGTTTAATACTTTCATAAAATGAATATTTCATAATTGCTATTTCAGCTGGATAATAATCACCACCATCTTCATCATCAGTTCGACAAAAAATTTGAAATGTTACAAAAAATAAATTTCTTTTAAATATATTAATAAGATCAGTAGAAAAATATGAATCTAAAAATTTATTTTCAGTACTATTCTTTTCAATAAATAATACTTCTTCACTAGATGGTATAACAGGTGTTATAACTTTTTCATTATTTAACATACGTGTACGTTTATATTGTTTAGCTAAACTATAAATAATAAAGAAAAATTTGTTTATTTTTATTTATTTTTTAACTTAACAAAAAAAAGAAAAAAACATACTCTTCATAAGGTTTTCTTTCTACAAGTGTCATTGAACGCCAACGAGGTAATAAAAGTATAATCAAATCATGAATTGACATTCGTGAATAAGCCGGATAAAGTTTTCGATGTTCATCAGCCAAATAATAAACTCCTGTTCGATTTACGCTTTGTTTTTTCTTCGGTGACATTGTTTTGACAAAGCACAAAATATTAACCAAAATAAAGAGATTTGTTAAATATATATTTTTTTTTCTCAAAAAAAAACAAAGAATAATTTTGTTAATAAAATTTATATTTTTGACGTATACGTAGAAAAAAAAACATTAATATTCCATCTTGTTGATCATAAGACTATAAAATATGGAAATATGATTGTGGTGAATGATAAACCATTAGAAAATAATTAATATCTTTCTTGAATTTTCAGAAAAATGAAACTTCAAATACAAATAAATGTTTAAATAAGGATGAAAAAGTCTATTGAAATACTAAAGAAAAAAACAGGAATGTGATACTTTTCAATATAGATGGCGCTAAATGTTAGTTTGTTAGAGATATTCACTATGCTCTTTGCCGTGTGGGCCGTACTAGAAGAATTATTAAAACGCCAACAACAAGTTGATGAATTATGTATAAAAGCTAAAAAATTAAAACAATTAGAACTTGAAAAATCCGAAGGAATTGATACAAAACGTTTACAAATTGAAGAAAAATTTTTTAAACTTTTATTATCATTAGAACAAAAAAAAAACATTTACATCAATATCTACGTGATATTGAAAATGAACAAATATGGTTAAGTGAAAAAAACATCATTTATTACAAACATATATTGGATTAATATTTAATAATAAACAAGAAATATTAATGAATATACAATTATTAAAATGTAAAAATGAATCATTATTAAAAGAAATTGAAAATTATGAACAACATTTATTAGAACATTTACATAAAAAAATATCAACGTATAAGTCATGATTATCCAACACATCAAGAAGAATTTCATGAACATCTACAACAATTATCAGATAATCATGTACAATTAAAAGAAACAATTAAACAACGTCGTATAAATATTGAATTATTAGAAAATATTTATCAAATATTATTATGATTTAAGTAAAACTGAAACATGGTTAGATGAACAAGAATTATATATGATGAGTGAAGAACATGGTAAAGATGAATTATCAATACAAACATTTATACATAAACATCAAACAATGGAACAAACAATTGAAAATTATAGTGATATTTTACGTGAATTAGGTGATAAAGCAAAAAATTTAATAATAGATTTAGAACAATCAAATTTATCACGTGATTTAATTAATGAATAACATGATCTAATTAATAAATAACAAAGACAATTAGATAAATTATATACTAGTTTGAAAGATTTATCTGTTAAAAGACGATAATGTTTATATGAAACATTAATATTTTATCGTTTACATAGAGACATTTATGATCTTGAACAATGGATATCAGATAGAGAATTAATAGATGGTTCACATGAACTTGGACAAGATTTTGAACATATATATATATATGTTATTTGATTGTTTTGCTGCATTTGCATAAGAAATAGAACAAATTGGTAATGAACGTTTACAACATACTAATGAAATGATTCATCTTTTAATTGTTAATGAACATGTTAATTCAGCATATATAGCTGAATTAAAAGTTACATTAAATGAATCTTATCAAGATTTATTAGAAATGATTGAAACACGTTTACAATCATTAAAAGCGTCATGGAAATTACATCAATTTTTACATAATCGTAAAGAAATTTTATTAATTATGCAAGAACGTAAAAATTCTATACAATATGAAATTGGTCATGATCAACAAAGTGTGCAATAATTATTACGTAAAAATCAATAATTTGAAACAGAATTAGTTTTATTAGCACAATATATACAACGTATACAACAAGAATCAAAATGTTTAAATGAATGTTTTAACACTATGGAAATTATTACAACAATTTATTGATCAATAAAAACATTTATGAAATGATTACGAATATTTATATAGATTTTTTAATTTAACGAGAGATTTACATATGTGGATGGATGAAATGATGAGACAAATGGATAATAGTTTAAAACGATGTGATGTTAGTGGAGTAGATTTATTAATGAATAATCATCAAAGTTTAAAAGTTGAAATTGATGTTCGACAAGAAAATTTTACTATATGTATTAATTTAGGTATGTTTTTGCTTTCGAGAAATAGAATCTAAAAGGAAATGTTCAACTAACCGAATACAAATTTGAACTTATCTGAATCATTCCTAATTACTTTGAGATACTACGAATCGAACTGTATCTATCTTTGAAATATTCCTTCATTTCTTCATCGATTAATATGATCAGCAAAAGCTATGAAATATTGGTTTAAAATTAGAATTTTATGTTTTTTTTTTCGTAATATAGGTTTGAAATTTATATTAGACATATGCTTTTGGAGTTATGAGCACATCTATGGAAGCTCTGAAAATAATGTTTAAACGGATTTCAGAGCACAAAAAAAAAACAAAAAAAAACTGTAGCTTCTCAAAAGAGATACTTTTTAATTAAACATCATAGTTATTTAAAGTTTCATATAGCTATTTAAAATGTGACGCCTCTATTATACAATCGTAACTATTTGATTCAAGTAGCTATTTCAAAACATTGATAGCTATTTAAAGAAATGTACACAATTATTAAATTATTTAAATAGCTGATTCTGATTTCTTTCTTATAGAAATTCGAATCAGTTTTTATTGCATGACTGACTATCGAAAATTTGTAAATTTATTTTTTCACGAATAGTTATCAAACACCTCAAATTGTTATGATAATTTTTTAATAATTCTAGTTTTGAATAGCTCATAAAAAATAATGTACATTAATAGACTAAATGTTGAGAATGAATGGAGTAACTATTTGAACAATAATAAATACTTTTCATTCAATTCCATAATCTTCGTAACTTCTGCTCGAAAAGAATCAGTAGCATTAAAAATAACAGATCGCATTAATTGGAATGGTTGCTTGTGAAAACATATATTATATAGGTAAAGAAATACATGAGAGATATTTAGTTAGCTATGAGCATGTTTATAGAAGAATTCTATATTAAAAAAAATATCTGTTTTGAAAATTAGATATTTGAGGGGTACGTAGTGGTGATATATTAGATTGAATCACTATGATATTTTCATTTTGGATTTTTTTCCCAATCTTCTCTACTCGAGAACGATTAGCAACGTTAAAAAATAAATGACACTTGTTTAAATAACTGTTAAGTTTTTAATAGGTATCCGGCTTTAAATAACTAGGAAGATAATTAAATAGCTATGTAGATATTAAATAATGAAACAGCCTTTAAGTGACTATGAAGATGCTTAAATAGTTACGGTACGATTTAAATAACTGAAGAGATTTTAAATAGCATTAGAAAGATTAAATAGTTGGGAAGTCTTTAAGTAGCTATAAAGATGTTTAAATAGCTGAGGAGTCTTTAAATAGTTATGAATATCGATTAAATAGTGTTGAACATTAAATAGCTAAAGATTGAAAGATGTTCAAAGAGAATAAATAGCTAAATAGTCTTTAAATAATTATGGATGTAGATTAACTAATGCTTGAGATTAAATAACTGAGAAGTATGAAATATAGCCAAACTTAGAATTGAAGAAAAATCTCATGCATCTTTTTCTTTACAACATTTCAAATATTGCTATGTATAACATAAATTATATCTCCTTTGAAAATGAGCCATACAACACTACTATACGCATTATTCTCTTGATTTTTTTTTCCTCATCTATTCGAACCCTAGATTAATGTATACACTATTATAATCGACCGATTAATATTTTTCTCGGCAAATATATACATTAATCTAGGGTTCGATATTCGAATAGATGAGGAAAAAAAATCAGGAGAATAGTGTGAATAGCAGGACGAAAGAAGATATATAAAGACATGACAATATGTGTTTATTGTTGTTTTATTTCCAAAGCTTTATCGACGAATAACATATCTTATATATTGTCGTACTTATGATATTTGTTAAACTTGAAAAGAATGTTATGCGAAAAAAATTAAAATGATAAAAAAGCGTCTCATTTCAAAGAGATTCAGAATTCGGTAAACAAAAATTCTAATAAAATATGAAATTAAATTTTAAATTTTAATTTAGATAAAAGAAGTTATTGACATGTTGGAACAAGATTTTATTCAATTACAAGGTGATCAAAAACTATATTGATAGAACATCTACAACTTCAATGGAATATGAAGTCATGATTCAAAGATGAACAACAACCATTACAACAAGATGTAAATTTAATCGATGATAACATCAAAAATTTGAAAATTAAAGCAGAAGAAATCAAGTGTTCTATTGAATTTGGATTTAATAATTTGCGAAGTCTACAAATTGAACTTGGTACGTATAAAATGAAGATGGATTAATATTCATTTATTTATTACTTCAAGACAGGCCCGTAGGCAAGGGGGGAGCCCGAGGGGCCCGGGCTCCCCCCTAACCTTTTCTTCTGTAACACTTATTACTGAATCTTTCTGGGATCTGCGCTCCGAAGGACAGCCTTGTGAAACAAATCACTATGAATGAAGATGATTCTTAGTTAAAGTACCACTATTAAGTTATTCGTTCCTGTTAGGTAGTGACAGCTCCGCTCTTTCTTCGTTACGTTTCTCTCTATATTCATATTGTTACTTTTTCCTTCGATTGTCACGCCTTATGAATTTATCCTTGTTCTCTCTTTTATAAGGGCTTTTCCTTTTCTTTTGTTCTATGGATTTTCCCCTCTTCTGTTGTTGTTATATTATACAGGTGATTTCTCTTTCTTTTCATTACGTAGGACTTTCCCCTATTTCGTTGGATGTTTTCTTTTCGTTGGATGTTTTCTTTTCGTTGGATGTTTTCTTTTCGTTGGATGTTTTCTTTTCGTTGGATGTTTTCTTTTCGTTGGATGTTTTCTTTTCGTTGGATGTTTTCTTTTCGTTGGATGTTTTCTTTTCGTTGTTGTATATATAGAAGTTGATTTGTTGCAAATAAACAGAGAGCGATTAAAAGAAAGTTAAGGAGCTGTTGGAATTGTGGTGATATATTCGAGGGAACATCGAACCTCACAGTTCCCTATCTGTAGTCAGCAAACTAATAAAAACCATAGCCATCTGTATATGGTCTGAGAGCCACGTTGTTTCATTGTATTTTTTTAAGATTATAGCAATAAAAATGTTTACGGTTGAGAAAGGTTGTTGACATTGTTAGAGTGAGTTTCTCTTCCTAATGTGTTTTTATTTTATTTTTACTTAACATTTCGGACGATAATATTGTCCTTCTTCGGAAGAGATTGTATAAGATATACACAGAAATTTTCTTTACATATATATATATATATACATAGCGAAGTACATTCAATTTCTTTCTTTTTGATTGTTCAACAATGAGTGGCATGGACGATACAATTCTCCTTTATCGTACCAGACTATTGTCGTCTTGCCCGTACCATTATAGAACAATCAAAAAGAAAGAAATTGAACATACCTCGCTATATATATATATATATGCAAAGAAAATTTCTCTGTATATCTTATACAATTTCTTCTGAAGAAGGACGATATTATCGACTGAAACGTTAAGTAAAAATAAAATAAAAATACATTAGGAAGCAAAACTCACTCTAACAACTATAAAAATGGATAAACAGATGAAGTTAGATGCATTTTTCGTCCGAGTTGAAAAACGTAAATACACAGATTCAATTGTGGATACTTCAACTCCATCAATTTCTTCATCAGAAACATGCAACATGTTGTTATCAAACGCTGATGATATGCAATCAATCATACCATCCGAGATTACGTCGACGAACAGTATGAAGGTAGTGACGCCACCCATTGAGCCGATTACAAATCTTGTTTCTTTGGCACCTACTATCGTCCACCACGACAAAAACGATATTGGTAAGTTATTCATATATCGTACCTAATATAGAATGGGGGGGGGGGGATCTGAATGTCAGAACTGTCATATGTATGAAATTATTTAGGATTGTTCGTCAACAGCCGCATCATCGAATTGGATCCATCTCGTGCTTACGACATACTAATAAATCCATGGACACCACCGACAACATATAAGTATCCAAAAGTCAACATTACCAATCACAGCCGATCAGTGTGTATACAAAGCTGGCTTAACGATAATTCGTGGCTGTCGTATTCAGCTAAGTTGGGTGGTGTTTTATGCCGTTTGTGTGTACTATTTCATCGAACATCGTCATCATCAGATCATGCCCGCAACGCACTTGGACAGCTCGTTGTCAAACCTCTCTCTGGTTCATGGTTAAAACACGCAACTATTTCTCTTAAAAATCATGAACTTACTCAGTATCACAAGTGGTCAGTCACTCAAGCGACTGAATTCATTGCTCGACATATCAACCCAGAAAAAGATGTTGACTGTCTTTTACGAATTGCAGATGAAGAGCAGCAACAGAAAAATCGTCAAATTCTTCTTAGCATTGTAAAATGTGTGTTTTTTCTTGGAAAAAACAATATTGCATTTAGAGGAGACGATGATGATGGTTTGCCTAATCATGAAAACAAGTCAAGGCAACTTTAAAAACCTCATAAAATTCCGATCCGATTCAGGCGATTCTGTTCTCTCAAATCATATTAAAAAATGTGCAAAAAACGCAACTTATTTGAGTCCTACTATACAAAACGAACTTATTATTTCATGTGGTTCATTCATTCGATCGAAGTTATTAAAAGAATTAGTGGAAAAGAACGGTATTTATTCCATTATTGCTGACGAAACGTCAGATGTTGCTGGCATTGAACAGCTGTCAATCAATATTCGGTTTATTTCGACTTGTCCCAATATTAAGATCAAAGAGATATTCATCGGGTTTTGTCCTTTAAATGATCTCACGGCAAATGGTATTGCTACAACATTAATCAATTTTATTGAATCTGTTGGGCTAAAGGTGGAGAACATTCGAGGTAATGATTTTTTCGTTTAATTTCTTTCAACTTATATTAGCGAGCAAAATTTAGTCGATAAAACATTACTAGGATTTCTCACTTCAGAATTAAGAAAAAAAAGTAGTTTAATTTTGTTTGTCGTTGGAACGTACTAAAAGAATCCAAAATACCATCAGTAATTGGCGATGGCTATTTGTATTCATGTTTTGAAAGAATTTAAACCTAGTTAAAGAATTTTCGTACTTTTTTAATCAGGAAATCTGGTGACACATTTTCAAATTCATCAAAACTGTTTGATTGCTATATATTTTTAGGACAGGGATATGATGGTGCTCCTGTTATGAAAGGTCATTTGAATGGTGTCCGAAAAATTATACAAAATCTAGTAGTATGTGCAATTTATATTCATTGTGCAAATCATAGTTTGGATTTAGTCTTAAAGAACTCCTGCGAGCTTAATATTGTCAAGTGGTTTTTCAGTATTCTGAAGAGTGTGATCAAATTTTTATCTACATCACCGAAACGAAAAAACATTTTGAAGACTGGTGCAGTAATTACTAATGACGAATCTCGACGAAAAACTTTACTGAAGTTAGTCGAAACCCGTTGGATCGAAAAACAGTTAGCCGTACTCGTGTTTCATCAACTCTTTTCAGCTATAATTATTGCACTTGAACAAATTGCTATCGATGGGGATGAAGAGAGCTGTTCCTTGGCACGTGGTTATTTAAAATCTTTATTGGACAGTGAATTTTGCATACCATTGATTATTGTTTCACGAGTCTTCGCTGTAATAAAACCATGTGCCGAACAATTACAGACAACAACACTTGATTTAATGAAATGCTATGAGAGCATTGAACAAGTGGCCATGCATCTCAGCGAAATGATGCATGATGACCAACAAATCAATAAGCTGTACGACGAACTTGTAACATTTACTAGTGAACATAATATTTCAATAATACTTCCTGGCCAATACAAAAAAACAATGAAAGAACTTTTCTCTGATATCTATCAAACACTTGTGTCGAACACTATAACAGAACTGTCTTATCGCTTCATGGAACACCAGAAAATTATCGTACACATTTCTCGTCTCATTCCTCTACATGTCGTCTCTACTAAATTCAGTGAACTCTAGGAAGTAATTGAATTCTATCTCGACGATTTACCTTCGAACGATATGATTGTGATCGAGGCAGAAATAGATTTGTGGTGTTCGTATTGGTCTTCACGCTCGGAACACGACCGACTGGCTACTATTGAACAAGCTCTCGAATGGACACATGACATGCGGGCATTTTATCCAAATATCTGGCGACTACTCGAGTTGTTTTCTGTACTGCCTGTGACAGTAGCAAATGCTGAACGATCGTTTTCAGTATTGAAACGAATTAAGACATATTTACGTAACAGTATGGGTGACGATAGATTAAGTAGCCTGGCTATTCTCAACATACACCAGTCAATCATCAATGATGATGAAGACAGTATTCAAATTGTCGACAATTTCGTTCGACAGAAACGACGAATTAAATTTAACTAGTGCTTGTTTTTTCTTTTGTTTTTTGTGACTATTAACTCAAGATAGTTTCTGGAAAATAAGTGTTTTTGTTTGAAATTTAATAAAAGAGAACAAAGAAAGAAATATGAAATAAAACGAAAAAGCTGCATCTAAGATGTTAAGAACGAAAGTATCGATACTGAAAATCGTACGAAAAAGTTTTTTGCAACTGTTAGGATAGAAGATATCAGCTGTTCTTCTCTCTTTTCTTTTGTTCGTTCTTCTGTTGTTTTATACATTTATTCTATTTTTTCTCTTCTTTTTTTGTGTGTTAGGAGCGTGTTCTTTTAACCTCGGATATATATATACAGAGAGATATATATAGATAGGGAGGAGGGGTGTTTTTTTTTGTTGGGGAGTCTTCTTAAAATTGTTTTTTGACCAAAAAGGAAAATAAAGAAAAGGAGCGTGGCAACGAGAAATCTAACTGCAATTTTAGAAAAAAATTTGGAATTGGGCTCCCCCCTTAAAAAATTCCTGGCTACGGGCCTGTATCAGTTAGATTTAATGGAATTATTTGTAAAATATTTTTTCGTCTAAATACACGAATTGCTTTAGCAACTGTTGAATCTAATTCAGCTAAAAATGAAAAATGTTTTGTTGAACTTAAATCAGATAATATTGATAAACACTAAAGACAAGAGAAAGTTTCTTTTTTTTTTTTGTTAAATTTTGACAAAGTTCAAAATAATCCTTTTTCATTAAATCAAACATATCACCAAGCATAGGCGGCATGCTATAGTAGCGAGGGGAAGCAATTGCTTCCCCTAAAAGAACTTTCGGGTAGCAATAAAAATTTATTGCTTCCCCTAACTACCTCCATTTTATAGATAATCCAAGCATAACTTTACTACTTATGTGAATTTAAGCGGCACACTAGCAAAATAATATGTACAATTGTTTCTTCTAGGAAAATTTGAAGAAGCGATAAGTTATTGCTTCCCCAAAAAATTGAGGTTGTTCTGCTCATGGTTCTCGATAAAAAAGTAACACTACTCTCAAACTCTTAAAGTCTCTTCCTTCAAAAATCAATTTCAACGTCAAGTATATGCAACTATTCGGAAATTTTCAAAGTGCATTGAGCCCAAGTTGAAGACAGTGTGGCAAAATTTTCGGGATCCCGAAAGTTGCGCACGGAAAGATGTACACGAGAAAGTTGTGTACGAGAAAGTTGCACACGCGAAAGTTGCGCACG